TTGGTAAGTCCCGCGTGGTGTTGGGGGCGGGGTTCGGTTGGCTGAAGGCTTCAAACATTTGCAGATGTTGGGGCAGGTTCGGCTTGAAGGCTCGCGGGCGTTTGAAGCGAATTGTGTTCGAAGGGGCAGGAGCGGTGCCGATGTGAACAGGCCGCCAACGGTAAGAAGAAGTTGGCACATGTTTGATTTGAGCGGCTCTTTGCGCATAAAGTGGGCGCGGCCTGGCGCCGAGGGCGAGCGTTGAGAAGGCCTGGGGGCCAAGGCGTGCAGGGGTTGCGAGGCGTCGGTTTGGGAAGCTTGCAAGCGCGTATATATATATATATATGTATATATATGGCACGGGACGCATGCGTTGCCACGCATGGTTTCGAAGAGGTAGGGAGTGCTGGGCGGGGCCAGTGACACATCGCGGCGCGCGGGGTATGGAACGCGCGGGGCGACGAGGCCGTTGGAGGCAACCGCTGATGTTTGGCGGCTGCCTGGCCCGATGCGGCTGGAGCAGGCGCTGCTTGGGCGGCGCTCGGTCGCTGTGGTTTGGCGGGGTGAAAAGGCGAGCGCTGGGGCGGGCTGGGCCCGAAGGGCTGGCGGCAGTTCAGGCGGGATGGGCCTGGGAAGCCTGCGCGGGGCGAGGTCAGCGGGGCGCTCGGCTGCTGGCGGGAGCTAGTGTACCTCGGGCTTCAAGGCCGTGAAACCGCCGATGTAGATTGGGTTTGGAGCTTGCGGCGGTAGGGGCCAGTTGGCGCGGCGAGGCGTACCCTGAGGCGGATTAGGTTTGAAAAGCTGGCACGGGCTGGATCGGTTGCATGCGCGGGTCATGCGGAGGGGGAGGGGGGGGGGGGGGGCGGTGGGAGGAGGGGGGGCGCGGGCGGCGCGCGATGCCGATGGTTGGGGTTGCGGCAAGTTGGCCTTCAGGGGTTTGCAAGGGTTGGCGTAGGCTGGGTTGAATGGAATGCTGCGTTTTAGGCACGTGATGCTGGTCAGGCGGAAGTTGAAGCGAATGGGGGGCTGGTGGGCTTGCAGCAATTGGGGCAGGTTGGTACGGGAGTTTTGCTGGAGACAAGGTCGGCGAGTTCGGGGCTGTGGCGACGGGATTCGGGGCCGTTCTGGTTTCAAAAGCGCGCGGGGATGTCGGAATGTCTGCGGGAGGTGATGTCGGTTGGGTTGGGGGCGCGGGGTTTGGGGTGGGTCGCGTTTGAAGAATTGGTGGGAGGGGGGGGGGGGGGGCTGGTTGGAGTTGGAAGGCCTGCGGTGGATGATGTAGGTCGGCTCTCGCGCTACTGGTCACGGTTTCTACATGTTGGGCGCCCAGGGCCTGCAGATGCCGATGACTGCTGGGCGTGGTGCGCAGTCGGGCGGGGGGGGGGTCGTCAAAGTGGGCTGGGGCGCGCGTGCGGCGGTCGAGGTGGAACTGCTGTGGATCGGCGGCAGCCCAACTGATGAAGGTTGGGCTTGGAAGGCCCCACGCGGTGGAAAAGGTAGGTTGGGCTTGGGTGCGTTAGCTGGGCTTGCGGTACTTGGGCCCCTTGGATTTGCAAAAGTGAGGCTGTTTGGGTTTGACGGCGTTCCTGTGCTGGGGCTGGTCAGGTTCGGGAACGCGTACTTGGCGTAGGGTGGGTTTGAATTGCTGGCATGAATTGAAGTCGGTGGTTTGGGAAGCATGCGGTGGTTGGCATGGGCAGGTCGCGGGGCCCATGGCGGCATGTCGCGCAGCTCGGCGCCCAGCAAATGTGCATGGCTTGGGGGCGGGGCGGCGCCGAAAGCGTGCAGCGTGTGATGCAGCATATGTCGGTGGGGTTGGAACCTGGTGCGCGTCGACCTGGCGGGCATGCCGCAGCTGCGTGTCGTTGGTTGCGCATCGACGATTCACTAGATATGTTGTAGGCGTTGTCAGTTAGGCGTTGTTCGCGGGCGTTGCAATACGCTGGCGCCCAAGTGTTTTCAGAGAGTATAAGCTGGGTCTGGAAGAGCTGCGGGAATGGCGGCGGGTTTGCGTCAGGGTCTGGCCGTCGGGGCGGATTTGCTGAATGGGCTAGCAGAAGTTGGGGCAGGTCGGGATTGGAAAAGAGGTTGTGTGTGCGTGTGTGTGTGTGTGCGTGTGTGTTGTTGTGTGTGTGGGGGGGGGGGGGGGGCGGTGGCGTTGCTGGCGGTGGTCGAGGCCTGTTGGGCTTCAAGGTGGCACGGGTGTTGCCGCAGCCTGGGCTTTGCACTCAGGTTGTGGTGTGTGTGTGTGCGTGGTGGGTGGGGGGGGGGGGGAAGTTCGGGTTGGGGAGGCAGCGCCGTGGTCTGGATTGGTGGTGGCGGGGGTGCTAGCAGGCGTTCGTACGAGTTGTGCTCGCAAGGTTTGCGGCGCATGACCTGGGCGTGGCTGGGGCCAGCTGGCGGGGCTTGAGGGGGGGCGAGACAGCCTGGTTCAAGTCGCACGAGCTTGCAGAAGTTGGCGGGGGGGGGGGGCGTGAGGGGGGGTCGGGGCCCGAGGCTCGCAATAGTTGAAGTAGATTGCGTTTGATCAGACGTTGAAGCGGCCGGTGTAAGATCTGGCAGAAGTTGGTACAGGTTGCGGTTGGGAGGCGTGCGGGCAATTCTGTAGGTGTGGTATTGAGTTGCATGGTGTAAGTAACGAGTCTTGCGTTCAGCACATTTGCAGAAAACGAGGCTGCCTTCTGGACGGCGTGCGGGAAATGCTGGCTGGGTCGGGGAGGCGGGGTTGAGTATATTTAGTGTTTGGGAGCTGGTAGGAGTGGATGCATGTTGATCTGGGTGTGCTCGCAGTGGATTGGGTAGGTTTGGTATGGGGCTGATGTCAGGAGTTGGTGCACCCTGAGGCCCACGGGCTTGCAGAAGTTGGGGTTTGCTGGGCCGGAAGGCTTGGGGAAGCTGGGGCAGGTTGTGCTGGGGGCGGGAGCGCATGTGCACGACGGTTGCAGAGCTTGCACGCGTTGCCATCGGCTGTGAACAGAAGAAGGCTCGCGGCTGGCGGGGTGCGAGGCAGGTGTGGTGGTGGGGGGGGGGGGGGGTTGCGCTGCGGCGTCAGTTGGGGCAGCTTGGGTTTATGAGTTCGGCCGAGCTCTTCTGGTAACGTGACCACACCGCACATGCAGCGCGTAGCGACGGCACGGACGGACGGCACGACGCTTGCGACCCACCCGCGACGCGTCCGCCTCGCGGCTTGGATGCGACCCATCGGCACGGCCGGCCACCCGCCTAAGGGGGCCCAAGAGGGCCCGAACACGGCTCCGATATGGTCGCAAGAAGGGCTTGGGAACCACCCAAAAGCGGTCACGCGAACGCGTCTTCGCGTTGTTTCTCTTGGCATCGTGGTGGTGCCGTTGTTGTACCATCTTGGATACGTATCGGCGCCCTCTTGGGTTCCCATGAAGGCCGTGGCCTGCGTTTGCGGTGGGCCCGATGAAGGCCTCAATAGAGCCCCAACAATGACCCCAAGAGGGCCCCCACGTCAGCCACGCGAGAGAGCGCTCGCACGACCGCCCGCGGGGCATCATCAGACCCCATCTTGGGGCCAGCTTGGGCCCATCTTGGGCCACTCTGGGGCCCCCACCAGGGCACAAGGCGCCCAGCCCCGCACGTTGCCCCAATCATACCCCAAGATTGCCAGACGATGGCACAACTTTCGATCATGATCGAATGTTCGCGCGACTGCTCGTGGGGCTCGTATTGGCCCATGTGCGTTGGAGCGGCATCTGTGTCTTCCTGGGGCGATGTCAAGCCCGATGTGGGCCCTTGTACGTGGCCCCAGAGGGCCCCACATACGGATCCGAGATGCCCCCCCCTATGGAGGGGGGGGGACAGGCCGCCTCAACAGCGGTCGCGCCAACGTTTTCTGGTGACGTGCCTTGGGGCTCTCTTGCGCCCACGACCCGCACGTGACACAGTCGTGACCCATCGGCGCTGCAACCCGCCCGTGCCACGGCCCGCCCGCGCCGCGACGCGCCCGCGCCACGACTCACCCGCGCCGCGACACACCCGTAGGGACGACGCCGACAGTAACAAACAGACACACCCCTCATCGCGGAACCCCGCTTCAGCAGCGCACTCAGACATATTGCAAGACCGCTCGGCCCCGCTACGCTGATTCTGCGTGTTGGTCTCGGCTGGATGTGCGTCGGGGCTGAATCAAGCAATACATTTCAATCAGTTTGCGTTTGCTACTGTTGGGTTGCATTCGGGTTTGGATTTGGCAGGGTACCCCAATCAATATTTGGATGGTTTCTGGTGGCTTGGTTTCGGTACCGAGTTCGGCTGGCTTGGGACCAGCAGGTCGGATGGCGTTGCCTGGACGGGTCAATGAGAAGCCAAACGAAAAAAAAATAAACTGATGAGGGGGGCAGGATATCGGATGGCATTGCTACGGTGGAGGGAGGATCAATGACATGATGGATGTATGAGGGCGGGGGGCACACCGAAATGAAATGAGGGATAGTTGGAGAACGGCGGTACCCCCACCCTCTTCTGGACCGAGAAGGTCCGACGTTTCCCGCGGAGGTGGCCGATCCTGTTTCAGCGCGGCCTTCCCACGGGTCGTAGCTCGCGAACTCTGGCAGAGAACGCAACTCCCATTTCGGCGTGCCCTTCGCACGGATCGCGGCACACAGGGTCCGTCGGATGGGCCGCACAGTTAGCAGAAGGAGTTGGGGATGAGGCGAGGGGGAGGGGGAGGGGTCGGCGACACCTTGACGCCACGAATATAGATCCTGGCTTCGAAGACTGCCCCTGGCCAGGAGCGCTCGGCCCAGGCGGGCCCTACCCCCGCCCAGACACAGATAAGAAGAGAAGGGGGAGGCGGAGCCCAAAGGCCCAAGACAGCCCAAGCCAAGACAGCCCACGACCAAGACCAGCCACAACATCGCATCTGGATGGGCTGGCGGGGATCGGCCATACGCGAAGCGTCAAGAATATGACATCAGCAAGTTGTGACCGAGTCGGAAGGGGTGAGGCGCGAGCCAATGTATAGAACAAGAAGTCGAGTCGTAAAGAACGTGTTGCTATACGAATTCGAGCGGCTCTGATCCAGGGTCCTCGCCTGCAGGCGTGTGCTCCCCTGCAATCAGAGCGAGCCCATCAGGCAACAACGAAAGCCGTGCTCTGGCCGCACGGCGCTCGTCTAGCGTGGGCTTCCACTTGCCGTGCACGTGGTCGTGGCGCGTCGCGGCCCTTGTCGCCGCGGGGCCGCAGACATGGTCACTGCCGCGGTCCTGGAGGCAACTTCAAAGTACGTCTTCGCGGCCAGGAGGAGCTCCAGCTGGGTCTTGTGGTCAGCATCTTTGCTCGACATGGTGTTAATGACGTCATCTGCAGCCTCGCCCAGCTTGGTCGCAAAGTCGTCGAGCGCCTGCATCAGCGCGCTCGTAGTGCCCTCCCTGGTCTTCGCCTTCAGCGACGCAATGTCGGCTAGAGCCTTACTTGCATCGTCCACCCGCTCGGGCCAGGTAGCACCTGCATTGCTCACCTTCGTGCAATACTCGTCCACCGTCGCCTTGGCTGTCGAGTGGGTAGCTTTCGTTTGCCGTATGTCCAAGATCGTCGGCTTGAAGAACTCCGACTCTTGGCTCAAGATCCCCATGGTAAAAACTATGATGCCTTTCCAGTCCGCTTTGCCAGGGGTGGAAGCTGGAGGCGTGTAGTCGTGAACTAAGGTGAACTCCTTTTCGTATTTGGCGTACTCCACGTTGTCTACTAAGTACAGGATTGCACGGCACATTTTGACCCCAGCGTTGCACGACAAACGCACAGGCTTGCTGATGCCCTCAGGCTGCTGGAGGAGAAGCTGCATGATCTCAACGACAATCCCCTTGAACCCCTTGGATGTCATCACCGACCATTGTTTCAGCAGGGGGCTCAGCACGTACGAACACAAACAGCGCTCGAAAGACTCAGCAAGCAGTTCAGGTAGGACTGGTATGTCGCAGCCTCGGGGGTTGAAAGGGTCCCACTCTTTCCGCCCTCGCTCATCAACTGCCAACGTGTCCTGGTCGACGGGCTCAGCCGCAAGCTCATCGATGTCGTAGGGGAAGAATGCGGCGCAGACAGTGCGAGTGTCCAAGGTGCCCTTCAAGAGAGGCTGCATCATGTCGGAGACGTGCCTGTCGGTAATCTCTCGAGCCAAGGCCGACGGAAACACCATGTTCGTGCTGACCAATGTCTTCACCCTGTCCTGGAAGACGGTCTTGTCGAGGCTGCGCAAGGAGCCTCGCTGGACGAGCTTCTGTGCCAAGCCGGCTGCTTCGAGCCGCTCGCTGAACTTCGTGGCTGCCTCTCGTTGCTGAGGGTCATCGCTGTTCGACCACTCGTCCCGCAGCTTCTTCATCCGAGCTCGCGCATGCATGCAAGACACTCCATCTAGACCAGCTCCGCACACTGTAAGGTTCACGCTGTCGATCCGCATCTGGGCCCAATCTGGGAAAGGCATCTGGTCCTTCCTGGCACTGAACGCAGATCGCCTGTCATCTCCATCGTTGTCATCATCGTCTGCTTCATTGGAGCACGGCTTCACGGTGGGGATCCAATATTCACGCCGGCCTTGGGTCCAGAAAAATCCTGGCAACTCGGTCTCGCTGGTGGGCTCCCGCCGCGCCTCACCCTCCTCGGCAGGCATCGTGTTCCCGTCGCCGTCCTCGTTGCCGCCCTCAGCCTCGGTCATATCTGCGGCCTCCTGCATCTTCCTGTTCTGCTCCTCTGCGTGCCTCTCCGCCTCCCTGATGCTCTCTACGCCTTGGCGGACCTCATCGAAGCCGACGCCACCGAGCCTGAGCTTCTTGTACTCTGGCATCTCCCCGAGCCCGTGGGAGATGAGAAAATCGAAATACTGATCGGTCTGCTCCTCTCGGAGCTGGCCCTCCCACCTTCGCTGGCGCAAACGCCAGAATGATGAGGTTTGTCGAACAGACTGACTGTGTCCCTGGGTGTGCGGTTGAAGAGGGGATCCGCGGTGACCGTTCTCGGATCTCGGGGCCTTCTTGGGCCCCTCCTCGGACACTCGTGGAGACGCCATTGGGCCCTCTTGGGGCCAAGGGCCTAAGAGGGCTCCAAGACGGCTTCAATATAGCCCCAAGAGGGGCCCAAGAAAGCCCCAAGATCGGTCACGCGAGCGCTCTGTCGCGTGACCGATCTTGCCCCCCCCCCTTGGAACTGGCCTGGGGCCCTCTCGGAGCCTCTCGGGGCCCCTCGGAGCTCGCCTCATAGCCGCGGGTGGGGCCCCAGAGGACCTCAAGAAGTCCCAGAGGGCTGACCATCAGTTCCAAATAATGTTCCAACATTTGTCAGGCTATTGCCCCAGCACGGCTCCAAGATGGCTCCACGATCGGCCGCGCGATGGCTCCTACAGGCCCCAGCGCTGCTCCAAGCGGGCCCCAACAGGGCTCCAAGAGGCCCCCCCCCAGCTAGCTCCAAGAGGGCCCTTGCACAGCCCTAAGAGAGGATATAGTCCCAACGCAGCTCCGCGCCCGCCCGCCCGAACACTCACTCGCATCTGCAACCGAGGGGCGCTACAGAAGCACAAACCAAAGATGTGAGGGATGTCTTAGAACACATGAAAGCATGATTATTTGTTTTTTTCCCCCCACCACGTCTGCTTACGAATATTGTAGACCGACCACCTCTGCTTGAACTCCTCCCAAGTCGCGCTCTCCTCCATCCCGTGCTCGTAGAGGACCCCGATCCCAGCGAGCCGTGGCTCATCATTGACAAGCACGCCCTTGAAGTAATTCTTGAGGTGGTCGGGATGGCGTAGATCCTGAATCGGCCTGCCCGTCTCCTTGGGCCCCCTGCCATCGGATACGTGCTTCTTGTACTCGTCCACGGTGAGGCCCCTCTTGCGCAAGGTCGTTCTGCAGAAGGCCCTGGCCCCGATGGACACATTCGCAGCGAAGAATGGCTTGACGGAACCTGGGACCATCTCTCTCGATTTCTCGAGCACGGCCACGGCATTGGAGAAAGACTCGTCGAACGTCTTCTCGGAGTTGGCTTTCGTCAGGACCTCCTCCACCGTGCCTTCATGCCCAAATGAATCCAAGGCCGTCGTCGCACACCTCTCGCATGCTGGCCCAGTAGCTGTGTAGTGGGGTTCGCCCTTCTTCACGACGACCTCGCGTTTGCCCCATGGTTCATCAGATGCATGTTTTTTGGCGCAAGACTTCCTCATGCAGATGAGCGGCCCCTGACTATTCTTCTCTTTCTCCTTGTTGATGAAAGACAAGAGCCGAAATCGACTGGTGAGCCTGCCAGGCACTCTCGCCGCCTTGCTCCTCGGGCCATCCTTGTCTGGGGTGTCCTGGGCGCCCTGGCTTGGCGATGCCGCCGTGAGCAAAGTCTGGCGCCCACTACCACCTGCCGCGGACAAGCCAGCCTTCGACCCCGCTGATGATGCCGGAGGCCGCGTTCTCGGCACCTTCGTCAGGGACGATTGTTTGTTGCGATCTGCCATTGCCGTCGGTGAGGCCAGCTCCAGCCACAGCCAGGCGCCAAACGAGCAACCATATACAGTGGCTGAAAAAAGAGAGAAGCAGCAAACCGCTTGAACCCAGATCAGCACGATACTGCTCAACTCGGTCAGCCAAGATTGTGGGCCATCAATGTCTGGAGCTCGCTGTTCAAAGAAACGAGTGCATCGCAAGCAATCGCCAAACGGAGGAACCGTTCAGGAAATCCACTGCTCAAGGAACGTACTGTGTGCAAGGAAACGCTAGCCAACGATATGTTCAATCCACTCACTGCTCGGGGAACGGGCTGCCTCGAGAAATCCACTGTTCAGGGTCGTCGAGCAATCCACTGTTCAGGGTCGTCGAGCAATCCACTGTTCAGGGTCGTCGAGCAATCCACTGTTCAGGGTCGTCGAGCAATCCACTGTTCGGGGTCGTCAAGAAATTCACCATTCAGGGTCGTCAGGAAATCCACTGCTCAGGGAACATACTGTTCAAGGAAACGCTAGCCAACAAGATGCTCAAGAAATCCACTGCTCAGGGGAACGGGTGGCCTCAAGAAATTCACTGTTCAAGGTCGTCAAGAAAGTCACTGTTCAGGGTGGCCAGGAAATTCCGTGTCATGACTGGTATGGTATGGTATGTTATGGTATCATATTTTATGGTATGATATGTTATGGTAAGTTATGTTATGGCATGGTATTGTATGCTATGGTATGCTGTGTATGCTATGGCATGATATGGTGTGGTATGGTATGCTATGGTATCCTATGGCATGGTATGTTATGGTATGATTTGCGGCTTGGGCCAGCATGCCATGGTATGCTATGGGACCCGTAAAGATGCTATGCGTTGCGTTGTGAAACAAGGCGTAGTCGAGAAGACGATGCAGGGATACGGGGGGGTGAGGAAGATGAAACAGCGGGTGGTGAAAACGAAGTCACGCGCATGGGCGCGATGACTGGGGCCCCGAGGGTCTCTCTCCACCAGGGCTGAACGACTGACAAAGGTTATGCTCAGCCATCCTCCCTCCCTCCTCCTCCCTTCTCCTCCTCCTCCTCCTCCTCCTCCATCCTCCCTCCTCGTTCCTCCTCCTCCTCGCCCCTCCGCCCCCCCCTACTCCTCCACCTCCTCCTCGCCGTTTTCCCACTTCTGTCCAAGCGGACTGCTGGTAGCCACCTCATCGCGGTGGCGATACCCTGGTTTGCATTTTGTTGGTACTAACCCCGTGTACCGTCCCTCATTGTTAGAGTTGGCCGAGTAGGCCAGATACACTGCCGTGGCACGTGCGCGCAGAGCGGACGCAGCCGACCAACTGAAAACAACGACCAGAGAGTGCACAACTTAGCTGTAAACGATGGTTCAAAACTCTCCTGCTGCGGGCTCGCCTCAAAGGCCCGCGCACTTGCCGAACTAGTCGGACGAAGAAGGCTCACAAATCGCAGGCGCCGAGCCCGAGGAACGGCCTGAATCCGACGAGGCAGGACCTGCGCTCCCCGAGGAGGCCTGGCCCTGAACTGCCGCGTCCTCCGTTGCCGCGCCTACTCGGTCAGCCAGGGGCAGCCTGACGCAGCCCTGGATGTCCTCGACCTGGTAGCCGTCGGTGTCGGGGAGCTCGATGACATTCTGGCTGTGGTCGCGGATCTGCTGCGTGCGGAGGATGAACGACTTCTTCACGTGGACCTTGACCGCCTGGATCGTCAGGTTGTCCGAGTGGGTCACGTTCTTCTTGGCGTATGTGCTCTTGAAGCGCTCGTCGTACTGGTAGTCAGCACTCTTCCAACTACGGTCGTAGACCTTCCTCTCCATCACGAACTGGCACACGTTCGTGAGGTTGAAGACTCCGTGCTGCTCGAGGTTCTGCGCGATCTCGTCGGTGAGCCATTTCAAGACGTCCTTGGCCTCGTTGCGTGTGATGCCAGTGTCCAGGGCCAGCTTGCGGTACAAGGCTAAGGGGGGGGGGGTCGTCCGTCGGACTCTCGGCGGCGCACCCGCTCCAGGCGCCGCTCCTGGAGACGCAGGACCATCGGCGCCTGAGCTGCTTGCACTGGGGTCGGCCAACTCCTCGGTCGAGTCGGGGTTCCTGTCAGGGCTCTCCGCGTCGTCCACGTCGCCACCCATTGCAACGTCGTGAGGCTGAGGGTCGTGCTGAAGCTGAGTGTCGTGCTGCGTGTCGGCCTGGTCAGCCATCGCTGCTCGCTCTGCTGGGCGGCCCAAAGGAGCGATGGAAATGCAATGTCGGATCACACCGCCTTGGGCCTCAATAGTAGCTCTAAAAGTACGGCGTCGTTTGTTGTTGTTGTTGTTGTTGTTGCCGTCGTCGGCGTCGTTCGCAGTTTGCCGTTCGTCGTCGGTGTCGTCGTTCGTCGTTGATTTCGTCAGCAATCGCCATCCTTCGTCGTTGTTTGCCGTGGTTCGTAAACCACTCGGCCTGGCAACCGAGAGTCGAGTTTTCGTGACCAGACTGTAAATGTTTCGACCCCTCCTACGTGCCTAACCGATGCCTGGTTGTTGGATAGTTGTACGTATTATGTTCAGCGAAGGTGTTTGTAGACAGAACACTGACACACGCAAAGCCAGCATGCCATTACCTTCATCACAAAGCCTCGGCCCCCTGTGGCCCCCTTGGCGCGTGAAGCCTCCAATCCTGGACACGCCCATTTCTGAGCGCACGGCATAGCTTGCTCCGCCGTAGAGTGCACCACATAGGTCGCACCACCTAGACCGCCCCACATAGCTCGCACCTGCGTGGGTTCCACCACATGGCTTACACCACATAGCACGCACCAACTAGAGCCCATTGCAAGCAGCACTCGCAATCGTGACCTCCGATGTTGTACCCGATGTTTTCGCCGCAGCGGCAACGCCGACGACAGGCGAACAGTGCGCGGTATCGAAAATGGTCGGCATCGTCATCGTGCCGTCGCCGCTGTCGCTGTCGTAAACTTGCCTTGTGACTCCCTATATGGTTGACGCTTCGCGTGCCCACATCACCCATCCAGAGGTGCCTCGGCGAATCGTGCCGAACAGGGAGCGGCAGAAGCTTACAGAATAGCAGCATGCAACGCAAAGTATAACCGAACGAGGCCCAAGGGAGTGCCCAAACTTGCCGAATGGGAGTTCCAAGCGGGGACCACTGGAGGTTTCCAAGACGGCCCTATAAGGTGCACAGGGGCATCCCAAGAGGGCCCCAACCGAAGAATATCAGGAATCCCCAGAAGCAGAGTTGCTGCAACATTCCGAAGCCCCGCGCGCCCGCACCAGCCAATCCAGAGAGCATGCCTGGGCGAGTGCCTTGATCAAGGGGCGCGTGGTAGCATGTGTTGTAGATGCATGTAGCGATGCAAAGTGCGCCCCAAGAGGGGTGCAATATTGCCCCAAGGGGGGTCCGAACAGGACGGGAGGGGGATTGCGGCACATCTTGG